ACTTATAATATGACCTTTCGTTTTGTGGGCTATTATTATTATTTTCAGATTGGCAATGCATATATCGACTTTGTTGATAGGTGGAGCGGCACACTCGATCATTTCTGGACGAGTGCTCTTATATCCGAACAAACTCACGACGGCATAGTAAAAAACTGCAATTATTCTTTACCCGACCCCTTTGAAGGTGACTGTGAAAAATATATTGATGAAGCCTATAAAGAGAAAGGCAACATTGATATTTACGATATTTACGCGCCATTATGTGGCTCGCCTTCAACCGCTCCATCGGTAATTCATTCATTCGCCATTTATAGATTTATGAAAGAAAATAAATAGCTAATCATTTTTATTTTTACTTTTTTTCAAAAAATGTGCTACTCAAAAGCAGATATCAAGTTACGATCCATGTTCGACCCAATATGTGATCGACTATTTAAACAGACCCGATGTGCAAAAAGCTCTTCATGCTAACATAACTGGAATTCCTGGACTGTGGTCGGATTGCAGGTATGTTACAGAAAGTATTTTATTACAATTTTCGCGCGTAAAATAGTTGTTTGTAAGACCAACCTTAAGATAAAGTTTCGATAAATCTTGAAATTTGGCTGCTAGCTAGTTATAAGTTTGTTTTTTTTTTTCCGTAAAAAGTTTATTAAAAGCGACATATAAAAAGGAAGAGATCGTGTAAAATGTTAGATAAGTAATAAAATGAGCAACGACTTATATAATTTATATTCTCTGCAGCGATTTTGTGTTTGACAAATGGAAATGGAATGAAAGTGCCGACACCGTATTACCCATAATCGAGAAGCTAATGAGCAGCCACATTAGCGTTTGGATCTACAGGTGAGTACATTATTTGATGGCTATATATATATATATAGGATGTGGTTCAAATGAGAACCAAGTCCTAGTGTGAGAACCGTGAGAACCGCTATTTTTAATTGTATGTAGTGCTATGATTAATTGTGTTTTAGTGCTATTTTTAACTAGGATGTATTTGATTAAAAATAGCAACAAAATTTTTATTAGCATTTATGAAAATGATAGCACCATGTAATATTAAAAATAGCATCATACACAATTAAAAATAGCATCAAATATGGTTCTCACGGTTCTCACACCAGACATAGTTTTTATTTGAACATATATATACATATATATATGTGTGTGTGTGTGTGTGGTTAATTTAATACAAAATTGATCTCACCGAAAACTAAGAAATATTGCATGAATCGTATGACTATCCAAAGTAAGGTACAAAAATGAGAAAATTGCTCGTGTCATATTAAGTAAAGGTTTGAATAGATTTTCGGCTTAAATTCTGAATCATATGCAAATTGCCAATGTCATATTAAGTAAAGAGTGAATAGAATTTGGCTAAAATTCATATGCAAAATTTGGCTTAAATTTTGTTTGGTTATACAAAATTGAACTCATCGACAACTAAGAATATTGCATATGTATAGTATAACTATATATCCAAAGTAATTAAGGTACAACAATGAGAAAATTGCTCGTGTCATATTAAGTAAAAGTTGAATAAATAGAATTTGGCTAATTAAATTCTGAATCATCATATGCAAATTGAATGCCAGTGGAGATACAGACGGTATAATTCCAGTGACCACGACAAAATACTCGATGGCTAAGCTCAGCAAACGTGTGATAACACCATGGTTCCCATGGTATGCCACCAACGAGGNGGGATCAACTAATTGTGAATAAAAAAAATAACGAGTTGATAACATTATTAATAATTTTACAGGTGGGAGGTTATGCAGTTGAGTACGAAAACGTGATGTTTGCGACTGTAAGAGGTGCCGGGCATATGGTGCCGAGTTATCAACCTGAACGTGCACTTGTTCTGTTCTCCTCCTTCTTACAAGGAAAATTGCCACCAAATAACACAACCTAAAATCAGTTATGGTGATGTGTTGTTCGAAAAAATTACGGTTGTTACGTTGCATGAAATCAAAAAGGATCAAATTAATCTTATATTCAATCTTGTGGTAGCTAGAGATACATGCATTTGATTTGAAATTAGATGACCTCGAACATACATTAATTGTCGAAGGAATAATATCAACATTTATAGACAAATTGTTTTGTTTCATTTTTCTTTTTTTGGTATACTTTTGGNAAAGAGAAATTTGATTCTCTCGAAGCAAAGTGGCACACAAAATTTTCGCTAATAGTTGAACCGAATTGTTCGTTAATACAGCTTGACTTGACTTGTGAAGGCTCGAGCTCCACTCGTTCGTTTATTTATACAAATTGAACTCTCATTTTTCTAATCGAGTCGAGCCATTCTTGTTCGCGAACAACTCATTTAAGTATTTGAGTTTACTGAGCTATAGAACGAGTCGAGTTTCACTAACTTGAACAAACCGACCGTAGTTAAGATTATTTCCAAATAGCTCGTTTATTATTATTATTATTATTATTATTATTGTATAGGTTTTAAATAAAATAATTGAATTGAAATTATTCGTAATAGATAATTCATATAAGGGAACAACTCACTTAAGATTTTTTATTAAACAAATTGAGACGAGCCTAGGCTTGTAAACGAACCGACCGAGCCCGAGCTTTGGATAGTGTATTAAGTGAGCCAATCGGGTCTTTTAATTAAACGATGAATAACTTGAAATTGAAATTGAGTACTGTAAAATTTTGATGTCTTCTTATTTTTCTACTTTGATCGATATTAAAACACTTGAGGCATATTAAAAAAAAAAAACACTTGCGTCACAATTAATGTGCTAATAATAGTCAACATACTTGGTTGTGTGAATTGACAAAGAACAATGATGTTTGGAAATGGAAGCTCTAACAAAAGCAAAAGGATNAATATCGACACCTTTATTATTAATTAATTAATTAACTTAGCACGCGGCAAAGAACAATGATGTTTGGAAATTGAAGCTCTACCAAAATCAAAAGGAATAAGATTTGCAATTGGCATATGACAAAACTGTCACTCGTAAATAATTGTTAAAATCTTTGAATATTACAATATCGACACCTTTATTATTAATTAATTAATTAACTTTGCAGGCGGCAAAGAACAATGATGTTTGGAAATTGAAGCTCTAACAAAATCAAAAGGAAAAAGGTTGCAATTGCCATGACAAAACTGTCACCCGTAAATAATTGTTAAAAATCTTTGAATATTTCAATATCGACACGTTTATTATTAATTAATTAATTTCTTAGTACTAACTAGTGTATATCCCGTGCGATGCACGGAAGAGTTTATATTTTAAACATTTTTAAGACTTTATTTTAAATATAATTATTTATATTTTTCACATCTCGTCTATTATGAAAATAAAATAAATACAATCAATGAAAAATATATAATATTAAATACTTTTCTTTATACAATATTTTTTATTTAAGAAATATTATTAAACCTTACGGTTTTGATTTATTTTTTTAAATCAATAATCCAAAATATATGATTGTTAACGTACAAAAAATAATGGAAATAATCCAGACTTTAAAATAAAGTTATTTTTTATTATTTTACAAATAAAAATCTTCCAAATTTTTTTAATTTCAAAAAAAATTTGGCAAGTTTGATAATGAGTTAAATCAAGTTATACAAATGATTAAACAGTTAAAATGTTATATTAATTATATTTTAAGAAATTCGATTATATAAAAATGGGTAAAAAAATATATACTAATTAGTTTGTTAGGATTGTGATTATATGAAAGTTAAAATAAAATGAAATGTAACCAAAAAATTTGTTCGTGGTTTTTTCCTAAATGTTTGAATTTAAAAATCTAGTAACCAAATTTACATTATATCACGTAAGGAAAAAAATAAATAATAAATATTTATTAAAGAGATAAATCAATAATATTTATCACTTAGATAATAAATAATAAATATTTACATGTAAAAAAATAAATAATAATATATTTAAAAATATAAGTCAGAATTTCAAATAAAGTAAAAGGAGGGATAACTCATTTTTTAAAAAAAGTTTCTAAATATTTAATATATTGATAAGTATCTCCATAAGAATAATCATACCATTTAATTTTAAAAAAATTGACAAGTTTGTTAGAGAGATAAATCCGGTTGGACAAATGATTAATTTGTTAAGATATTATATTAATTGTATCATAAAAAATCGGTTAGATAATGTAGATAAAAAAATATAATACTAATTAGTTTGTTAGAAATGTGATAATGAAAACCAAGATAAAATGAAATTTACCCAAAAAGAATTTTTGGAATCTTTTCCTTTAAATGTTTGAATTTACAAATTTAATACCGAAATTCTATTATATCACATAAGGAAAAAATAAATAATAAACGTTTATTAATATATTAAAATATGTAATTTTGAATTTCGTATAAAATTTATTTTTAAAATAAAAGTTATGATAAACATTTATTGATTCTCTTTCTTTATATTAATAAAATAAAAATATAAATCTAAACAAATTTTGAAACAACAAAAAAAATCGGATTGATTGGCATAAAAAAGGAAGTGAAATCGAATTTGAATGCTAAAATCGGAACACCTTACCAAATTGAATGCTAAAAGATTCGATTTGATTGGTTACCTAATTGCATGGGCTGAAAAAATTCAAAAAAAAATTTTACGAATTGAAGAAGCGGGAAAACACTATATTGAAGCGGAAAAACGAAATGATTATTTTTGAATTGTTCAAATAATTTTTCTTCTCCGTATTATATAGTAATAGATATTGATATTTGACTTTTTTGATGTGGAAATGTTGGACCATGTTGTTATTTTAGTCCATTGTTTGGGGCATAATTTCAAAACGCTACGAAAAATACACGTTAATTTTGGTCATATGAAATTACGTATATTAATTTGTGAAATAAATCACATAAACACATTAATCTGACGTGACTAAAAAAATTAATACGTTGTCATTTTCTTTNAAAATGTGAGAGCAGACTGAGCCGCATCCCTAAAAATCGCCTCCTATGCGCAAGAAATCTTTATAAAAAAGATTGAATAGGGAAACGGATTTTGTTTGAGATAATATTTTGATGATATCATGTTAACACAGGACGAGTCCAATAATAGGTCACTCGACCAAACTTGACGTCAGATGAAGTCGGAAAATTGTCGGATAGAGATCAGTGATTTTAGGTAGAGTTTTTGCGTCAAAGATATTTTACAGATAACTGGAAAGGTAAATAAACTTGTTTTGAGCTAATATTTTGGTGTGATAAATCTAATGAACGAGACGAATTTAATGGTTCGTCAGCAGACCGAAATGGACATCTAATGATGCTGGAACATCACCCAAAAGGTAACAGCTTCTAAAGATTTGTTGCGCTGGAAACTTTTCACTAATAATTGAGTAGATAAATGAACTTTATTTGAGTTGATATTTCTAGGATTAAAACTATTAGACTAGATGAGTTCAATGATAAATCACCGACCCAAATGGCTGTCGGAAATTCACCAAAAAAGAGCAGTGATTTTGTGATGATTTGTTATGCAATGGATTTATTACAAACAATTGAACAAGTAAATGAACTTTATTTGAGTCAATAATATTTAGAAGATATTATCTACTCGACGAAACGAATCTAATGGTGGGTCACCTGGACAAATTGGACGTTAGATGGTGCTGGAAAGTTTTTGAGAAGAAAGCAGCAATTTTTACAGATTTTCCCCTTTGTTTTAGTTAAATTTGGGCCACATAATATCAATTTGGACCCAAAAAGAAAAAATGAGATGACATGTATGTCAGATAAATGTATTAATGTGGCAAATTAAGTTAGATCATAACTCATATCCAATGCCCATCACCATTAAAAAGTACTATAATACAATCATCACAATTTTTTTCATATTACTTAAATTGTGTCGTCGTGTTTACTTTGGAAGCTCCTCCTCTGATTTCAAAAGTAGGTTCGTGAACAAAAAACCTACATTTCGTCGTGTTTACGCTAGAAGCTCCTTCTCAGTACTTTGCAGATTTCAAGATTTCAAAAGTCGGTTTGTTAACAAAACACCTGAACATTGTCGTGTTTACGCTGGAAGCTCCTTCTCAGTACTTTGCAGATTTCAAAAGTCGGTTCGTGAACAAAAAACCTGAACGTTGTCGTGTTTACGTTGGAAGCTCTTTGTCAACAGTGTAAGAATCGTTTACAAACCGAGTTCGACTCCTTAATTCATAAACGTGTCATATTCGGAAATACACGAGAGTCCAGACGAACACTTCAATTACAACCATAACAAACAAGCCTTACCACTTTCCATTTCATTTTTTGTCCGTTTGTCGAAACACGACCTCTCTCTTCAAACACTGAGAAAAAAAAAGAAAAAAAAAACCACGAATATCGTCAGCGCTTGTAAAGACCAAGCAGCGGTTTTTCTCTCTCCTCGACTCGTTTTCTGGCGGCCTCCCTCGCCTTACGAGCTTCCGCCTCCTCTTTGGACATGGGTTTGGTTTTCTCGTCTGCTCGTTTTCTCTTAACAGCGATGGACGATTGAGCCCCTTTCACGGACCTCATTGGGTTAGGCGGTGTCGACACCACACGTCCAGGTGGGGCCCCACTTTCGGAAGTCGAGGCAGTTTTATTGTTTTCCGAATTAGGTTTTTGCTGAGTGGGCCCTGGGGAAGCTTGAAAGGAAGCAAAGGCCTCTTCTTGAGTCACCCATTTACCTGTTTTGGTTTTTAGTAAAATTATTAGCAAGAATTTGAACTGAAGCTAGTTTTGTTTTAAATGAAAAAGAACTTAATTATACCTAGAGCTTCTGTATAGTAGAAGCCAGAGTTAGGATCATAGTAACAGCTCGTTTTTCGGTTATAGTAGTAGCCAGATGAGCTCTCGACTTCCCAATCTGCAGATATTAAATAATTAAGGAAAAAAAGGATAATCTGTGAATATATCATGAGATAGAGAGAGAGAGAGAGATTCATTACAAGACTATAATGAAGCAATGAAATTTCACGTCAATCAGGAAGACTAGAAGCTGAGTGCAGATTTCCATATTACTGTACAGCTAAAGAAATATATTGCAGATTTTCATAAAATTGAAGAACTTCTAAAGCAACATCAGTCACATTAAAGACCGAATTATCTGTAAATCTGAGCATGCGGACAACATTCGTTACATTTGGAAAAAAGAATTTTCTCATCATATCTTCTACCAAATTCATAGCATCTACAAATTTCGTCACATGGGCATGATTGTACAATTCCAACTCGTATAGCCGAAACACACACATAAAAAGAAAATAAAGAGAAATTAAAAAAAAAAATATTACCTCCAGGCATAGCTGAACCATCAGAAGTTCCTTGATTTTTATCTTCAGTAATAAGTGCCTGCGCATTAGTCTCTCTTGCCTCCTTAAAACTCTCCAAATCTTTCTGATAACTGCGCTTTGCTTTCTGTAAAAAATATGGAATGTTTAACAACAATAAAAGAACTCGAGTACCACCATGCAGTACTAAACAAATAGAAGAACCAATTTAATAGATAAATGCTAAACAGAGCATTTAGTGTATCAAGTGCTAAACTTTGAGATAGCAGAATATCATATGAAATACTTATATTATCAGGATCATAACTTAGATAGCAACAAAACTTGCACCAAAGACATTAACAAATATTCTCCGAATTTGATGCCTTCCATTTATCGGCAACTTAATAATACCAAGTCAAGTTTAAGCAACAAAAGAAATACTTGCACAAGAGAAATTCACACAACTTGTAAAAAATCATAAAAGCAAGCAAAAAATCATGTAGTCAACTTTAATGAACAAAAATATACCACCACTTAGTTAAATGGGCAGAGCCCTTTCACCACCATAGCCAAATACACACACACACACACACACACATTAGAAGAGGCAAAAGAAAAGGGGGGGAAAAAGCTCTTTCTGGAGAAGGTGGTTTCTAATTTCTTCAAGAATCACTAGATCTTATTCAGAAAAGTGTGATTACTTACAGCTTCAATTTGTTCGAGGACACGAGCCGCTTGCTTTTCTGCCTTATCTTTCGCGGCTTTCTCTTCCCGCATGTCATTAAGCCTCTTGGAAACATTATCCTTGTGCCGTTGACCGAACTCATGATTCCTAATGCTGGCCAGATTATTCGATATGAAAATCTTGCATGTGTCACACCATTTGTTCCCCTGACTTACCCAGTACTGGGATAACAACAAAAGCATACGGGACAGAGAATTTTTCTCAGATAACGAGAGCTACATAATGTGTTGGGATACTCGAGACAGTCACAGAACATGATCATCATGGAAAAAAAAAATATTTTGATAAATAATAAAGATTAATCTTGCTAACAAATATGTAAGCTCAATCATATCTCAAATGTGTCTTTATCTTATTTAATATAAACCCATCATCTTTTCACAAGCAGGAGCAAGCATATCCATCAATACGCATTATTACGCCGCCCATTGATAATAAGAAAAAATGGAATCTTGCATTAGCCATGACCAATTTACACATGCCCTTGCGAGTACACGCGAGCTAAAATGTCTAAGTGCTTCAATTCAATTGCTTTTGGGTTGAATTTAACAATTGGCTTCACCTCAACACTATCAAACAAAGATTTCCGAAGCTAGAAATGTTAGTTTTCTTGAATGAACTCACCACCAATACTATTATCGACATTACAAAAACCAAAATAAGCAGATTTTTTGGATTTGTCTTGTATAACACAAACCCATCATTTTTCCACAAGCAGGTGAAAGCAAATCCATCACTACACATAGTTATGCCCATTGATTAAAAGAAAAACGGAATCTTGCATTGGCCATGACGAAGTTACTCGTGCCCCATTGAGGGTTTACACGCAACTTCAATTCAATTGCTTTCGAGTTGAACATAATAAGCTACTCAACAACGTAAGTTCTCGTGCAATCTGATTATCTGAACATAATTTAATGAAGATGAGTTTGCAGAATTTTCGATTTTTCGTGCCAAATTTGGTTCATGTTAGACTTTTAGTTCTTCCACATACTGGGTTAAGTGCTGTTGATTGTTTAATGTGAGTGTACACTCACACACATGTTGACTGGATTGGATTTGTTTATGGGCCTGATCCATTGCAGGAGGAAAGATTGCCTTATGCATTTTATGTATCAGACAGTGAACTTGTAGTGCAGCTAGGAACATACCTTCAGAAGAATAAAGGTGAGGTCTTTCCATCACAATTTGTAGCAGTAATACTGTAAATGGGTTGCTAAGACTCGGTAATTCTTGTGCAGTGTCTGTGGAGAAAGTTGTCACAATAGTTTACCAGCCCCAAGCAGTATTTAGAATACGGCCTGTAACTCGCTGTTCTTCGACTATAGCTGGTATGAAAGTTTTATTTTGTTGCTTGCATGTACATATGCCAGTCAATTTGTGCAAGTTAAAAATGTAATTGGGCATTGTTCAGATGTGTGCTCTATATAAGTAGAGCTCTTTCTGTATTCTTTTTTACCATTCTAATTTCTATAGCTCTATGATTTACCGAAAGGCTTCTCGAAGCGCCTTAAATGTATCAAGTTATCCAGTGTCTTGTTATTTTTGGTGGCATACATATACAAACGTAATGTTGGAGGCAGTTGAAAAATCTCGTCTATATTTTCATTATCCCTATATGGTTTTGTATTTTCAGGTCATACAGAGGCAGTGCTTTCTGTAGCGTTTAGTCCAGATGGACGCCAGTTGGCAAGTGGATCAGGCGACACCACTGTACGGTTATGGGACTTAAATACGCAAACTCCATTGTTCACGTGTAGAGGTTATAATTTTGTTCCCTATAGTAGTGTTTAGTGAGAGCTGCGTATTAGTTTTCTCTTTCAAGCATGGGATCAAAATTTTCACATTGTAGTAGTATATTCACGAGACTTATTTTGTTTTGTCCGATTAGCATGCAAGATATCAGAAATAGCACTTAGGCTGTGTTGATTTTGATGGAGATTTATGGTGGCGAAAATTCTCTAACTTTGCAGGACACAGAAACTGGGTTCTTTGTATTGCATGGTCGCCAGATGGTAAACATCTTGTTAGTGGAAGCAAGGCTGGAGAACTGATTTGCTGGGACCCACAGACTGGCAAACCATCAGGAAACCCTCTTACCGTGAGTTCAAATAGTAGTTGTTTAACTAGGCTTGGTTCTGTCTTGATCTGATTGTTATTTATTGTGCTGGGTTATCTTTGACGACTTATTATCTTTTTACCTTAAACACAATCAATTGTGCTCGGATCAATTTGTTCTATCAAGAAAAACTTAGCAACTTATTTTCTTCCTTCTTTGGTCTATTTCTTTTCTTCATCTATTTGGAAAATCTCAAGGAAAAAACAACCAACCACAAGTCCTGCCAGAGTTGAATTTTACTTCATAATTTTAAGTAATGGACTAAAATGGAAGCATCGAATATCATTTTCATATTTGATATTTCAAGAATTGTAAATTTATATATGGAGAAAAACTTTTTCATGCTCTAGTGTTTCTCTATACATACATCCCTATTTATTTTGTGGCTATTTTAATTTCCCAAGACAGTCAGTAGTTATCCTTCACTATTATAAATTCGCACATTACCCTTCCAATTTATTCTACAAAAATAAAATTATCTATATATGCACATCTTTGAATTCCCTACAAGACTAGATTTTTTACACGATTCATTTCTCAGGGTCACAAGAAATGGGTTACTGGAATTTCATGGGAGCCGGTGCATCTTAGTGCTCCAACCCGCCGCTTTGTTAGTTCAAGTAAAGATGGTGATGGAAGAATATGGGATGTTACTTTGAAAAAGTGTGTTATAGTTCTTACAGGACACACACTTGCCATAACATGTGTGAAGTGGGGTGGAGATGGAGTCATATATACAGGGTATGCCTAAAATTTTTCTTATGATAAACCTGTTTCCAATGTAAATCTCTTGCTCTACTGGTTCAGGGTTTCCGTACAGTTATTCTTGATGTGAAACTTCCAATATGCTCAGAATTGGGCTATCTTAGTTTAATATTGGTTTTATTTCCTGATACACAAACCAAACTAGCTTCTAGAAACTCACTGGAGTTCTAATTGTGGAAGGACTCATGTGTGGGCCATGTAAATGAGGAAATTAATTTCTAACATTTGACTTTGGAGGGCATTGAGGTTAGAAGGATGAATTTCTATTGCCTGTGACATAAAAATCTATGTGATCAAACATCTTCTCTGTTTTCCTTTCAGATCTCAGGATTGTACAATTAAAATGTGGGAAACTTCACAAGGGAAGCTCATACGCGAACTAAAGGTGTTCTTCTAAACAAGTCAACTACATCTTCTCTGCATCTCTCTGGTTTTGTTATAGTGCATCTGTATCATTTTGGCATATGTTGAAAGACTGAGTTAAATATATTGAGAGAAATTTACTCTTTATTCCGTGTCTCGCCACAAAAAAGTTTGTGTTAAAGTCTTAAGGACTTGTGAAGTATATTGTTTGGGAGGTATGTCACAACCATTTTCCAGCAACTTTGAAGTCTGTATATGGTATATTGTTTTCTCAACATGAGGCAATGTATTCAGTTTCTCTATTGTTGCTTTTGTTTTCTATTCGTATTCCAATTCTCCAAAGCACGCTTGTTTGTCACTCAACCATATTCTACATATTGTGTAGGGCCATGGCCATTGGGTAAATTCTCTAGCACTGAGTACTGAGTATGTTCTTCGAACCGGTGCATATGACCATACCGGCAAAACATATACGTCTCCGGAGGAAATGAAGAAGGTGACCGATTTATCTTCAACATTTGTGCCAAGTTATTCAGAGATATATTTGCTTTTCTTGGTTGAGCTGTGTATTAACTATTAATGTGTATCTATGTCAAAATACTGCCTGTTTAGACAAGTTCATTTTATTGCAACAGTTGTTGTAGATAAGTTAAATAAGATAATGAAGTGCAATTACCTTATTAATTTTGCACCATAGGCTATATTTATTATTTACATTTTTTATGTCAGGCTTGTTCTTCTGCAACTCTTTTAAATGCCTCTCTTCTTTTCTACCAGGTTGCATTAGAAAGGTACAACAAGATGAAAGGCAGTGCCCCGGAAAGGTTGGTTTCAGGTTCGGATGATTTCACCATGTTCCTGTGGGAGCCTGCTGTCAGCAAGCACCCCAAAACTCGTATGACTGGCCATCAACAGGTATTAGCAAGTGTTCTTTTGAATAAATAAATAAGCCTTTATGCATGCAAACAAAGAATACCTCTCCATGTTCATGTGCCTAATCCTAGATTTT